TCAAAAACGGCTAACTATAACGAAAATTCACTTGAGAGCTTTTTTTATGTTGAAAAGTGCGAAGAATCAGATTTTTTATTCAAAAAGCAAAAATTACACTAAGAAAAATTTTCGGTCATTTTAATACATTACAGGTACAGTAGAGAGCGCCCTCTAGCGACTACAGTAAAACTATGCCCATGGTTCGTTTTGTCGTACCAAAAAACCCTTGTATACCCATTTTCACTGTTATACATCAAATATTGTTCGAAATATTTAAAAACAAAACTCCTGTATTTCGGAAGCCACGCATTTTTCGACCCATGTTTATATAGACTGTATGCATTAATTTTAAAAGTTCTATCGAATCTTAAAGTTATGCAACAATAACTGAAACACCCTGTATGTATATATACATATTAAATACTCAGAAATTTCAAAAAACGCAATATCCCGCCGCCACTGGACTCATTTTCAAAAATTACCAAGCTTCTTCGTCTTGGGCATACTAATCACGTTGTAAGTAAATTTCGTCATACTCCGCGCGGTACTTTGCAAGTTATAGACGGGCCAAGTAATGAACAAGATGAAGAAATGAGTAAATGGTTTTTCGTAATAACTTCTAAATCTAATTTCTAAATTTTTTGCGGTGTCAATACCTCCTCGCCAGTGGCTTGGGAGGTAGAACTCAAATGTAAAGCAGCTTCTTAGCCGACAAAAACTGTTCGACATAATTGCCTTCAAGCAGAGTACCATGTTCAAATCTGCAAAAATCAGATGACATCGGCGCCTCTGAGCGAGAGACAAGGACGACCCGCACATAGGCGTTCGTCATTACTGAGGGGAGTACTGAGTACTCACCATGCTGCCAGCATTGGCGTGCTATTTTGCATAAACTGAACACGGTATAATACGTTAATCAATGATCACACCCTTTATATTTTTAGATTGGGACTCTGTGAAAGCAGATTGAAATAGTCACACCATACTGGGCCTCGAATTCTGCCGGAAAGATCAGGGCCATAGTCAATACACAACATTTCGAACAAGCCATACACCAAGAAGTTTGCACGTGAGTATTCAGTTGATCCGCCATTTTGATTTTTGTTATCAACGACCTTGAAAACATCTAAAACTCAAATTTATTTGAACGCAATCAAAACATTTTCCGCCATATTGACTTGGTAAATCGATACCATATCCATTATCAGCAACTTGGAAAACGTGAAACTGAAGTTTTTTTTTTGTGAATTTAGTGACCTTCCTAATTTCGGTCATGTTCTAGAATTTGTCTGACGGCTTGAGTCAATGTGTACGAGAGAGAAATGTGTATAGAACCATATGTTAGAACGAGATAGAAGCCGGCTGAATAGCGATGCTCATCACAGCGTTGCCTAGCAACGCTAATGCGGCAATGTTACACCAATTCCTTGAATGAAGGTGCATGTTGAAAATATGCGTTAGTTTATCCTCTGCGCCCAAATAATGGTTTTATTTGAGGTTCACACTTTTGATTCGTGAATTGTGTCGAATCTGTTAAAATCGTTTCCCGGTCGGTCCTAACGGCGCTCCATTTTAGGTCAAATGAAATGTCAGGATTCTCACAAATTCTGCAACATTGCATTATTGGTTCGCTTGGCAACACCGCATCTCGTATATTCCAAGGCAAGGTTTCCACCTCCATGAAAATAAATTTGGTCAGTACCTATCTAGCGCTCTTTTTTGAGTGTCGTCCCGCTTCGAAATGGTTTTCACCTGCGTACACGCAGCTGTGATATTTTGCATTGCATAATGGTACTTTTTATATCTTGCGACAGCCGACAGAATGTGTTGATTTATCACCATCGGTGGAAATCAAAGATAATTCTAAAAATAAACCCCACATCAAGTTGAAATAATAATTCGAATCAAAATACAAACTAAATTTCGAACAGACCTCCTTCTTGCGTTAACAGTACCCTTACCTATGTGTAGAAGCCTGCTAGGCAATGTGGGTGATGTTGTGATACACACGTCTCCTGCTTCTCTCTAGTACACATTAAACCCAAGCCAATTTGTATGTATACTAAGTGACATATAATCCGAACACCTAGTTTAAAATGGTTTTATTTTATAATAAAATTTTGTAAATAAGTAATTAATGAAACATAATAAGTAATGCTAAAAATTTCAAAATAATGCACTAGCTTTAAAGCCCGTTGACCTTTAATAATGTGTGATTGCACCCTGATGTGCTACGCATTCTCCAACGCGCCTAGGCATGCTTCGGATCAGGTGGTCATGTCCTCCTGTGGTATCTCATCCAGGCAAACCACCACTCCTCTCGAAGTGCTTCTAGAGTCTGAGGAGGACGTTGCAAAATTGAGCAATCTCCTAAACATCATATCCCACATGTGCTCAATTGGGGATAAGTCGGGAGAGATCTTGGTGCAATGGTAACAATGTGACATCATTATAGTTTACGAAGTCTATTGTGACTCTTGCAACATGTGGTCGGGCATTATCTTGTTGGAAGTTGGATCTGCCAGATAGGGTAAAAGATGGGGTTCTAGGACTTCGTGGATATAACGCTGCGCGTTCATGTTACCCCCATCTGATGCAGATTTTAAGGTGACCTGGAACCATAAGCTATAGCACCTCAAACCATAACTCCAACAGTGTGATGAACATGTCTTCAACAAAAAACTGTGGATTCCTCCTTTCACCACGTCGCCTTCTAACCCTGGCACGACCATCGTGCATGCCTAAACAAAATCGAGACTCGTCACTAAAGACAATACTGTTTCATTCCTGATCCCAGAGTGACCGTTGTCTGTAACCACTCAAGGCGATACGTCGGTGTTCTCGAGTTAACGGAGGACCCAGTGTGACCGGTATGAAAACAAGCCAAAACTTCTCATTTCGTCGGTAAACACTCGCATGCCAATAGGTCTTCCGTGTTCTGCAAACCATTCATTGGCAATGGAGCCTGTAGTGGAGAAACGGTCTCTTAAGGCCAATAATCTTAGGCGACGATCTTCACGGTCTGTTGTTCTACGGCGGCGTCCTAACTGCAATTGCCCGAAAGAAAGTCCAGCTTCCCGAAGTCCCACTATACGGCCCCTATCAAACTCACTAAGTTGACGAAATCGTACAGGTCTCCGTGCTCTAGGCATCGTAACCAATCGTAAAGGGAGTCAGAACCAAAATCCGCCAACGTTGATTCTTTACTGCGGCTGAAATATTCATTTTTAGAGCGTTAGTGAATTAAAAAAAGCAGTATAAAAACCGGAATGTCCAACTGATAAGGCTGAAAATTTTTTCACTTGTTATTTACAGTAAGATAAATACATTCACCAACTTTTATTAAAATAAAACCATTTAAACTGGGTGTTCGGATTTATATGTCACTTAGTATATATCCGTATCCTCTCGGTATCTTTGGCTCTTATTTTACTGCGCACTATTATTGCAGGAAAGACGGCTACCAAGAGGTGTTCTGGAGACTGTGGCTGCGAACAGAAATACAAATGGCACAGGTTGCTCGCTTACGATCCTGATAATGATTGTAAAGGTATTTTTATGGATTGGTTCCTGTTTCCTTCGTGCTGCGTCTGTAGATGTAATCCTAATTGATACACGCCAATGTTACCCAAAAGATACGTTAGATAAATCGATATGATAGTTTTAACTAGGAATCTTCAAAAGTTCCGTTCCACAAGGAGACAGTCAACAAATAATCTGATCGTTATTATATATTTTCTAAATTTGAATTCGAATATTTCACTGTGTCAGATTTTCTGCATGACTCTCTAAGGTTTGGTTTTTCTGTTATGATCTCCTGTCACTCTCTCCGTGTGGCATATTGCTTTTAAATAAGTTTTCATCCTGCGAAACAGACTGTTTTGAATGAATTTCCTGAAACAAAAAGAATATTTTTTTACAAAATCGTCCATTTAAATTGCGGGCAATTTTTGAAAACAACGTCTCATCGATTTATCTAGTTTTGCATTTTAAATGTATTCCAAATCAGGAATGTGTACTGATCGAATTGTGAAAATAAACAGATACAATGGTATAATGATATAATGCTAGACGGTAATGTAGTTGAGATTATTTTATACATTATTATTTGTGGTACATCTTAAGCAATTTTGTTAGTTAAAATGTAATTGTATGTAGCCAAAGATTTATAATTACCTTAATATAAATAGTCCAGGATTATGAACTAGGCTTGAAATTTGCAGATCACATAAAAACCAAGAGATAACTCACCTTTACAACTTAAAAGCAAGTTACACCTACTATATGAAATGTTTGTGTTGTTTCTGATAATGGATTCTTTCAATTTTTATGAAATTTATTTTCATCAGTGAAAACCATATATAAAACAACAGTAAATCTTAAAAAGTAGTTATTAAACGACTGACGAGAAAAATAGTAAAAACTTGAAGTAAACACTTTAAAGTTGTAATCGATTAACATCCTGGACTATTAAAAAAACTAGAGAATCTTACCGTAAAATATTACCCATCTTTTTATTAATACATACTTTCTTGTGCTTTGACAACCATATGCCGAAACTACTACAGGAAATTTTATATTCTTAATTATTCATTTTTTGTATCCGGAATTCTTGATAGAGAACACAAACTAACCCAGAACGTATCAAGAATAATGTATCACTTCTTTAAGTATTAATTTTTTTGGAACATACATAATATATAAATTATGAATGCAGCTAGCACCTAAGAATATGATAGCACTTTCACTGTGTTGCAAGGTGATTTTCTCATGAGCATAATAATTGTATGTATGTTTATTCACTGTAGTAAAAGTAGATTTAACTTAAAATTTAGCAAAATGTTTGTAGATATTAGTAATTTTATAAAAAAGTTAGTTTTTATCAGAAAATACACATAGACTGTATTGGTTCGACTTGGCGTTGTCAAAATTTTAATCCTCAAATGAATCAACTCAAATAATTGCATAGTATTAAATCAATGTAAATAGCGCAATAAGTGATTAAAATAATCAACTTTGCATAACTTTGTTCGTTACCATTAGATAGTGTAGCTATTTCAGTATTTTCGTCACACAGACACACAGTTACCATTCCTTAAAATCATTGTATTCATATAGTGAGAATTTTCACTAATATACGCTGCCATGTTTGTGTGTGTCTAATAAATTACTTTGCATAAACTTCGTACGTTTCTTTACTTTTACTCCTACATTCCCATACTCCCAAAATATGTGATGCTATCGGATAGATGGTGAAATTAACGTTGCAACTTTATTTGAGCAACACCTCTACACAAGAGTGATGGGTCATTGGCTGAATTAAAGAGTATAGTCTGCGTCCTTGCGTCCATTGACGCTTGCTGAACGGATTTCAGCAGCCCTAGGTAGTCATTCAAAACGCTGGACTTTGTGGTGTCTACCGATATGCAGCGCCATCTATCGAAGAATAGCCTAATAAAAAGAATATATCCATCCGTATATCTCTAAATAATTCACTAAATAAAACGGTTTTTATTTTATTTTTTGAAAACAAGTGAGGTACGAAAAAAATACGAGAGGCAAAGAACTTCATGCTTAATTAAACAACAAATATTAAAGTTACAAAAATGGCAGTGGCGTACATTTTCTGCCAATAATATTCGCTAAGGTGCCCCCAGGACGCCTAATAATTTTAATGTATTAAGGGCTAAATTAGCTTCTTAATACAACTAATAATATTGCCCAAAAATTCAATATCCAACCGATATATTTAAAAATAAATATATCGGTCATCTCTACTCCCTCTACTCCTACTGAGCGAGGGCCGTGCCAAATGCTTGTTCCGGAAGTTGTTGTATCCAGTATACAACTTCTTCCGTCCAAGTGATTGTGCACGCGTTAAGGAATTCCTCAGTACCGATTGCCGGGTGGCGGTACAAGTCCGCCAACGGGCCACTTTAGGTCTATTTAACATCACTAATACGTGAAAAGAAGGTGGTAGACAAGGACCAGTCGACCGAGGCAGTACCACCCGCTAGCTTTTCCCAGGGTGTCTTATAAATGTCCCGCATGTTTCCACACCTAAGCTATGCAGTCAGTTATCTACCAAAACAAAGAAATTAATGATGATGGATCCCTCGAGCACTAAAAACTCCGGACGTAAACTCACTCCACTCTCGGAATGTCCGGGTGGAGGGTGGGCTCGAGGGAACAACATCGAAGATAAAATTTGTTTTTCGAACATCTGCGGGATCAACAGCAACATTGATGCTGTTCATCACTACCTGCAATCCAATCGTCCCGCCGTGCTTTTCTTGGCGGAGACAAAATCTCAGAGGCTGCACCGATTAACCATCTCAACTTCCCAAACTACGAGGTGCACTCCAATCTGAGAAAGAACGGGGGAGTTGTGGCTTTTGTCCGCAGCAGTCTTTCCTGCTCCAGGGATCTTTCTTTGGAATCAGACCGGAAGGACATTCTGTGGCTTCGCCTCAACTCCAAAACATCACCCAAATTTATTTGCTGCCTTTATCGCTCTCCCTCGAACCATAACTGGGATGACCTACTCGAATACCTCGCCGTCCAGATCGACTTCCTGAACATCAATCACCCCGCTTCAGAGGGTAGTTCTTCTCGGTAATTTCAATGCCCATAATGAGCTTTGGTTGGGCTCAAATAAGACCGATGCAGCAGGTCGTGCAGTCGAAGCGTTCGCTCTTACTCAAGGGCTGACCCAACTGGTGACAAGCCCTACTTCTTTCCCCCGCGTCTCGTCACACGCCAGTAGCCTGCTGGATCTCTTTTTGACGACGCATCCTGCCCCTTACAGCACTGCTGTCTTGTCCCCCCTGGGTAACTCAGATCACGGTGTTGTGGAGGTTAGGTTCGGTCAGAAGCCGCTGTGGCAGCAGAAACTCGCACAGGCCGCAAAACTTGGCATTACGGACATGCCGACTGGGAGGGGCTCAGAGACTTCTTCTCTGGCTTTCCTTGGAGAGATGTCTGTTTCACTGACGCGGATGCGTCGACTGTCTGTTCTTCAATAACCGAAATTATCCACGTCGGAATGGAGGAATACATCCCTCACACAGTGAAAGTTCCTAAACCAGGGTCCAACGGCTGGTTCAACAAATCGTGTGACACTGCTCGCCAGCAGAAGATCAAGGCCCACAGAACCTACTTACAAAACCCCACTGTAGCGAACAGACAAGCCGACGTCGAGTCCAGAAACAAATATAACGAAGCGGTTCGCAATGCCAAAAACCAGCATGATATAAAAGTTAGGCACAGGGTAATGTCGCAGCGCAATGGCAGTCGGTCTTTCTGGACGCTGGCCAAGCAGATTGAAAAGAACTTCTCACACAGTAGCCTTCCACCACTTACGTGTCAGGATGGAACTATTGTATTCGACTCAAAGGCCAATGCGGAAGTGCTAGCCAAGATCTTGCTGCCAACTCCACCATGGACGTCCCCACCAACGCCCAAGTGCCGTCAATCCAAAGGGTTCCCCACACTATGCGGGAGGCAACATTCAGGCATAAGACCGTAAGACAAGTGCTCTTGTCGCTCGACATCAACAAAGCTTCTGGTCCTGCCATTCTACTGAAGAGATGTGCAGCGGAGCTTGCTCTAGTTCTTTCGCGTCTCTTCCAGATATCTTATGAATCCGGCACCTTCCCAGAAAACTGGAAATTTGCTCATGTACAGCCCATCCCAAAAAAAGGATCTAAAACCGACCCTTACAACTACAGGCCTATAGCTCTGCTTTCTGTTATAAGTAAAGTGATGGAGAGGTGCATAAATCGCGAGCTTCTAGACTACCTCGAACGTTAGCGAGAGGCAGTACGGTTTCCGGCACCAACGATCCACAGGGGACCTCCTAGCTTACATCACGCAACTGTGGAGTAAGCTCATCCAGTCTCATGGTGAGGCTCATGTCGTTGCTCTTGACATCACGAAAGCGTTCGATCAGCTGTGGCACGCTGCCCTCTTAAGCAAACTTCCATCCTACGGCCTCCCAGAAAAGCTTTGCAGATGGGTGGCTGACTTTATCTCTGGCCGCAAGATATCCGTCGTAATTGACGGATTCTCCTCTTCATCCCACAACGTCAACGCGGGTGTTCCCCAGGGATCGGTCTTGGCTCCAACACTGTTTCTCTTACATATCAACGACCTCCTTTCCTGCACGATCAACCCAATCCACAGCTTCGCTGATGACAGCACTCTACATGCAGGAATTCAGAGTGACAAGCCGATATCTGCCGCTGAGCTGGAAAAAAGAAGACTAGCGACGACTTCTTCTCTGACAAGAAACCTGGAGGCTATCACTGCTTGGGGACGCAACAATCTTGTACAGTTCAATGCTTCCAAAACCCAGTACTGTACTTTGACGAACAAAAAACGTCCTAGCGCTCATACAGTTTCGATGGCGGTTCGAGTTCTACCAAAGAGTCATTTCGGCTGGTCGGAGTCCAGATCACCGAGGACCTGATCTGGCACGAACACATCTCTTCAATAGCTGCAGCTGCTGGGAAAAAGCTAGGCTATTTGTTTAGGGCTAAGAAGTACTTTTCTCCGTATGACCTTCTCACTCTATACAAGGCCCAGATAAGGCCTAGCCTCGAGTATTGCTCACACATTTGGGGTGCTGCCGCCCCGACTACATTGTCCATGCTCGATGCTGTCCAGAGGAGGGCGGTCCGAGTGATCGATGACTCTTCTCTAACAGACCGTCTCGGGACTCTTTCGCACCGGCGGGCCGTCGGCGATCTAGCTCTTTTCTATCGCTACACCAACGGGCTTTGCTCCTCAGAGCTCTCTTCCATGATGCCGCCGCGCGATGTGCCTGCCAGACAGACCCGCCTGACTTCGGCATCCCATCCTAACTCTGTCAAACTTCGGACATCCAGAACTGGCCGATACGACCGCTCCTTTGTCCCGAGGGTGTCTAGATTGTGGAACAATCTACGGGAGGAAGCTTTTCCCAGTTCTACTAATCTTAGGCAGTTCAAAAATCGTATTAACAAAATTTCTTTGGGATCATCATAGCAGCCGCGGTGTTCCGGCATTTAGGCTTCTGCCTGCGCGGCTGTTTCGAGTACTTAATGAAGCATAATAAGTAAATGATAAAAATTTCAAAATGATTGCACTGCTTTAAAGCCCTTTGACCTTTAATAATGTGTGGATGCACCTGATGTGCTACGCATTCTCCAACGCGCCCAGGCCATCGGGTGGTCAATGTCCTCCTGTGGTATCTCATTCCAGGCAAGCACCAACTCCTCTCGAAGTGCTTCTAGAGTCTGAGAAGGACGTTGCAAATTGAGCAATCTCCTACCCATCATATCCCACACGTGCTCAATTGGGGATAAGTCGGGAGATCTTGGTGGCCATGGTAACAATGTGCCATCATTATGTTGAAAGAAGTCTATTGTGACTCTTGCAACATGTGGTCGGGCATTATCTTGTTGGAAAGTTGGATTTGCCAGGGTGTCAAGATAGGGTAAAAGATGGGTTCTAGAACTTCGTGGATATAAAGCTGCGCGTTCATGTTACCTCTGATGAAGATTATAGGTGACCTGGAACCATAAGCTATAGCACCCCAAACCATAACTCCAACAGTGTGATGAACATGTCTTTCAACAAAAAACTGTGGATTCCTCCTTTCACCACGTCGCCTTCTAACCCTGGCACGACCATCGTGCATGCCTAAACAAAATCGAGACTCGTCACTAAAGACAATACTGTTCCATTCCTGATCCCAGAGTGACCGTTGTCTGCACCATTCAAGGCGATTACGTCGGTGTTCTCGAGTTAAAGGGAGGACCCAGTGTGGCCGGTATGAAAACAAGCCAAAACTTCTCATTCGTCGGTAAACACCATTCATTTGCAATGGACCTGGTAGTGGAGAAACGGTCCCTTAAGGCCAATAATCTTAGCCGGCGATCTTCACGGTCTGTTGTTCTACGGCGGCGTCCAGTGCCCCTTGCTCTTTGCGTACGGCCTTCTCGAAGTCATCCCTGACAACACCTAACCACAGTGTCTACACTTCTTTGCACTCTAACTGCAATTGCCCGAAAAAAAAGTCCAGCTTCCCGAAGTCCCACTATACGGCCCCTATCAAACTCACTAAGTTGACGAAATCGTACAGGTCTCCGTACTCTAGGCATCGTAACCGATCGTAAAGGATGTCAAGAACCAAAATCCGCCAACGTTCATTCTTTACTGCGGCTGAAATATTCATTTTTAGAGCGTTG